TGATGCTTCATTGTATTGCTTAAAGCTGCCTCAGATACGTTTATATAGACAGGTGGGAGCTAAGTATTTTAAATAAATACATAACCTTGTTTTTTAAGTGTTATTCTTCTAATCTGATCCAGTACCGTTCTAGCATTAGGGCAGAAAAAAGGAATTAAAGGTCTGCCTGGAGACAGGTAGGAAGCCCCTCAAGCCTTCCACATCGTCTCATCTGGTCTGAACAGAACTCCCTTCAAGGAGGGATTGATTTGTTGGGTTTTTAGAGGACCAGTCTGGGTGGGTGGGGAGCAAAGTCTTGTTTCTGCAGGAGTAGCTTTCCTTAAGCCAGGGGTGTCAAACATGCGGCCCGGGGGCCGCATCAGGCCCCTGGAGAGCTTTTATCAGGCCCGCAGTGGAACTGGCTGTCTTCTGCTTCTTCTTCCAGTTCTGCTGCTGCTGCGTCATTGTAGGTTTGCAGCTTACAGATACACACCTGAACAGCATACTCAAGTTTGCAACAGCACAGACATTTTGATGACGTTTATATAGACAGGTGGGAACTAAGTATTTTAAATAAATACATAACCTTGTTTTTTAAGTGTTATTCTTCTAATCTGATCCAGTACCGTTCTAGCATTAGGGCAGAAAAAAGGAATTAAAGGTCTGCCTGGAGACAGGTAGGAAGCCCCTCAAGCCTTCCACATCGTCTCATCTGGTCTGAACAGAACTCCCTTCAAGGAGGGATTGATTTGTTGGGTTTTTAGAAGACCAGTCTGGGTGGGCGGGGAGCAAAGTCTTGTTTCTGCAGAAGTAGCTTTCCTTAAGCCAGGGGTGTTAAACATGTGGCCCGGGGGCCGGATCAGGCCCCTGGAGGTCTTCTATCAGGCCACCGTGGAACTGGCTGTCTTCTGCTTCTTCTTCCAGTTCTGCTGCTGCTGCGTCATTGTAGGTTTGCAGCTTACAGATACACACCTGAACAGCATACTCAAGTTTGCAACAGCACAGACATTTTGATGCAATAATCCAGAGCAATAATTCAGACACTGTTAAATAAACAAAATATTGCAAGAGTGGTAATGTTTTAAACATTTTTTTATGTTAAGTAAAAAACCCCACCTTTTTGTTTGTGTCCTTTATAAAGTTTATATCTCCGCTACCTGGCATTACATTTTATGACACACGTGGCCCAAGGGCCCAACAAGGTCTCATTTATGTCAGATCCGGCCCTCATAAGAAATGAGTTCGACATCCCTGCCTTAAGCCAATAGCGACTGCTGTGGACAAGCCCCTCCCCACCTTTGCAAATGCTAACACTATCTCAACAAGGTGTATTTTCGAGCTGCTTTTTCAACCCTGGAATGTTTCATGCTTTCCTTATAGGATCTTTTCAACGCAGATTATAACATAAGATGTTTTACTTAGATTTTTTTTTTACTCCCTGTACCCCCAGACTTTCCATAGCTCTTGTACTGAAACTCTTTCCACTTTCTTCCCCCTGGCTCTTATGGTGTATTCCTTGGTCTTCTTGATATAGAAGACAGGATTCTCCCCAAGGCGAACTAGTCAGATTGTAATAATAATGTTTTAAAAAGAGATCATTGGACTGGCGTCAGCTGACGCTTGGGTAGAAGCCCGGATGTGATGTCAGCGCATTGGGCAATGCTCTGGGGATCCCCAAAAACTCCGTGGTATTTTGGGGAGTCCTAGAGCATCATCCAACATGCTGATGCCAGATCTGGGTTTTCACTTGGACGACATTTCTTCCTTGGACATTTCTCCCACTGGTCCAGTCAGGGGTCATTTCGTAGAAAAAGAGGTGCCGGAGCTCATTAGCATAACTTATTAGCATGACTTATTTGCATATGCCACACACCCTGACATCACCAGAAGTGTGTCAGAAGGCAACACCCACCGCTCAGGCTCCACTGGACTGTTTTGGATTGCTAGCTATGGGGGGGGAACGGGACGTGCAGATCTGTCCTCACAGAGGATGGAGAGCTTGGGCCTGAATAAAACTTGGTCTTAAAGGGGCCACTGGACTGTTTTGGACTGGGGGGCCGGAGGGGGGGGCTCTGCAACTTACCTGGCTGCTTCTTGCTCTGACTGAGGGCTGCTGGGAGCAGGGGGTGGGGCTTGTTGCCTGTGCCCAGCCCCCTGGGCTCTTTACTGCCGGAGCTCCACTCCTGTGCGTGCCTGCAGGAAATGGCCCCTGGTTGCCAAACTCCAGGAGGGGCCTGGAGATATCCCAGAATTACAACCGATCTCAAGACGATCAGAAGCTCAGGCTCCACTGGACTGTTTTGGATTGCTAGCTATTGGGGGGGGAGAACGTGCAGATCTGTCCTCACAGAGGAGGGAGAGCTTGTACCTGAAGGTGGGCCGGGGGGGGGCACTCTGTAACTTACCTGGCTGCTTCTTGCTCCTCGTGGCCCGACTGAGGGCTGTTGGGATCAGGGGGTGGGGCTTGTTGCATGTGCCCGCCCTCTGGGCTCCTTACTGCCAGAGCTCCACTCCTGTGCGCTCCCGCAGGAAATTACCCCTGGGTCCAGTAAGCGAAGGCTCCAGAGGGTAGGTGGCTTCCTTATGTAACCCCCCACAGCTAGCTGCAGAAGTAACTCCGAGTTGATGGGCCTGTGGTGGCAAGCAGGGAGAGGCGTCCTTGCCTGTTATGGCCAAGCGGTAAGTTGCTTGGGCCAAGGAGATAGACCGGAACTTGCAGCTTTCTAGGACCTGGTGGATCCCCGTTGGCTCCTGTGCTGCCTCACGTGTACTGAGCCAGTAGCTGCAATACCACCCTCTGCTCTTGGGCTGCTGCAGCACAGCAAAGCACTAGCTTGCAGGGTACCCATTTATCTACTTGCAATTAAGTCGCTTTCGAACCGCTGGGTAGGCTCTTGGGCTGCTGCAGCACAGCAAAGCACTAGCTTGCAGCTTCTCCTCCCACAAGCTGCCCCAGTGGTGCATCCGACTGCTTGAATCGCAGGTTTGAGACACCCGCACCTTACAGTGACCAAGCAGGATCTACAAGTAAAGGCCCAAACATATTTAACATTTCATTGCACCAATAGACTGAGTTGAATCCCATTGGTGCTAGAGTTGCCAGCTCCTGGTTGGGAAATTCCTGGAGATTTGGGGGTGGAGCCTGGGGAGGGGAGGGGCCTCAGTGGGTTATAATGCCATACGGACCGCCCTCCAAAGCAAGCATTTTCTTCAGGGGAACTGATCTCTGTCGTCTTGAGATCAGTTGTAGTTCTGGGATATCTCCAGCCCCTTCCTGGAGTTTGACAAGCCATTTCCTGCAGGAGCGCACAGGAGCGGAGCTCCGGCAGTAAAGAGCCCAGGGGGCTGGGCACATGCAACAAGCCCCACCCCCTGCTCCCAGCAGCCCTCAGTCAGAGCAAGAAGCAGCCAGGTAAGTTGCAGAGCCTCCCTCGCCCCCCAGTCCAAACAGTCCAGTGGCACCTTTAAGACCAAGTTTTATTCAGGCCCAAGCTCTCCCTCCTCTGTGAGGACAGATCTGCACGTTCCCCCCCCCAATAGCTAGCAATCCAAAAGAGTCCAGTGGAGCCTGAGCAGTGGGTGTTGCCTTCTGACACACTTCCTGTGATGTCAGGG